AGATTTGCTTCTTTTCTGTCCTGCCTTTCCTCCTTCTCCTGCTCCTTCCCCAGTCTTTTATTTTGTCAAATAATCTGCTTCTTTTTTGGTGTTCTCATTCCCATTGTCTTGTGGTTTTGCTCTGGCATGCTCCTCAGAGTAAGATCTTTTTCTGTTTAGAGTCTGATTTACATGAATAATGCCTCAGGATAATCAGGCAGGATTGAATTTTCACACAGTTTTAAATACTACAAAAGCTCCACTGAGCTTTTAGCAGGAGAGAGCTGGTTAGTGAGCATTGGAAAAGTGTTTTGAACCTGTTGATAAAATTTATCTGAGAAAAAGGGACTGCAAAGTATTAGTATCAAATTGTTATATATGGGAGCAAAGTCTTAAATCAAATTTTGTAATCCACGGATTTTGGTAGAGGTGTGGAAATCTGCATAGCAAACATAAGCCTACTGAAAATACCTCACTACCTCTGCAGAGCCTTCAGAATGGATCCACAGATTCCTGAGCATTCATGGACCCCAGAGCGGAAGCCACAGCATAAAATCAGATTAATGTTCTGGGAAGATCTTCCCTGCTGAAGCTCAGCTTTGCTGAGCTGAGAAACCTGCCCCAAATGGTGACACAGACTGATTTAAACAGTGCTTAAATCACTCTGTTAGAGACTCTAGTGCTTCTGCTACATCTTGGAGACTCCAAGTCTGTTCTGCACACTTGTACGTGTGTGACTTGTGTCTGGTGTAATGCAGTCTGCATGACCCGGTCCACAGACTCCCATTACCTCTATCAGTGAGGCCCATAAAATACTTTTGGGCTCAGACCAAAGGGAAAGGGCCAGAGGAAATGAGTTTAAAAGCCTGAGCACATCTCCCAGTGGACATAACAGTCCACATCACAAAATGTATATACATAATTTAAAATAATTGGCAACTTTAGGAAGCAAAGCAAAGAGCAAAATGGAGCTACTTTAGCTGATTATTTATGATCACCTTTTGTCTCAGATGTTTCTGTAAGGAAAATCTTGCCTGTTTTGTAGTTCAAATAACTAATGCTGAGCCGGAACTACTCTGTTGTCTGCTCTAAATGAGAATCACACAGTCGCTGTCTATTTTACAAGTGCATTTTCTGTATTTTTAAATATAAATGGTCTCCCTTTATTTCCCAATGCTCAGGTGAAGACTCTGTCCCCAGACTCTGCTACCTCTCTATTGCCCTCTAAGTACTTCATGTGAAAGGTCATAGGCTCACAATACTGACTCCTTTCAAAGTTCAACTGGCTCTCTTTTGTAGGCTAAAGCCATTCCCCATCTCTGTAGCAAGGGAGGTCCCCTGGCAGCAAAACAAATGTGGTTAGTTATGTGTGGCATGAACCTCAGCTGCACTGGGAGCTGAGCTCCGGAAAACATGTAATGGTAATGTATTGAGAATTACAAGGCTAACCCATCAGCCTCTTTCAAGAAATTTAACTCTGAAATGTTTTATTTTGCCTAGGGAAAGTCTATTTGGGTCTGTCACCTGGTTTCCAGGAAGGTCCAGCACTCCCCCCTCCCCTGCTCCTTAGCAGGACGGATGGCATATAAAGAGGTCAAAGAGACTACCACTGTCATGCCATAAATCAGTGGTTCAGCTTAGAGGAGAGCCCAAAAGGCTTCTGCTCATCTGGTATAAACTGATTCATTCTGCTGCACTCAACAGAGGATCTGACGGCAGCAGATTTGCCTCAAGAGCTTCAGAATTCTCACTTTAGGTTTATCTAACTGGTGTTTCAGACATTCTTTCTCTGTTGTCAATGGCAGAGATTTTATTAATATCTTAATAAATATATTTCAACTACTGCTTCACAGAATATCCAAACTTCCCTCCCTGCCCACAAATAGGATGTTAAGTATATGTGATTATAAAAATACCAGTAGCCAATTTAGTTTAATTTAAATTTAGATTTTGCCCTAAACAAATACTGGTGTGCCCTGTATATTTTTACGGCCAGATTATGATTTACTAACTCCGTTTTGGGGGTTAAAGAGAGTATGACCTTGGCCCATATTAATATTTAAAGATTACCATGCACATGAAATCGGATGCTGACACAAGTCTCAAAGGACTAAGAGGTTTTTAATCTTTAGAAGAAGCAGTGCCACACTGAAATATGTATTACTACATTCAAAACAGAGCATGTAACAAATGTCCCACTAGCAGGCATCAGAGACTGCAAATTTCATTCAGTGTAATATGGTCCACAAATACCAATGTTTCCAGAAGGGAAATTACAATGCCACTAAGGCTGATGCTTGACACCATAGCAAAGGCCAGCAGTGGCATCTCAGACACTGCAGTAAAAGAGTTTGCCATCCAGTTCTAAATGCAGGAACCATTTAGTGCCCTTTTCAAGGCAATACATAGATTTTACTCTTTCAAAAAGGTGAAAGTTTATGTACATTTCTTTTCAAATGCAATTTAGAACAATTTAGGAACCATGCCATTCTTTGTTTTTACAACAGCACAAGCCTAAAACATTAAAACCTCCTGGTTTTCTTTTAATGCAGTAAAAAAGAAAGCCAGAGTTGTTTTAATAGAAAAGAGAAACGGTTGATATTTCAGATCAATGAATTATTTTATGCCTTTTTAAGGGCACAATTTCTTTGTTTAAAAAATTTCAAGCTTAGCCTACCAGCATTTTTAGCACGTCTTTCCACTACATCTAAGCTTCAAACAAAAATGTGTACTAGTAAGCTGTAGAAGAGTCTAATTAGTTTCTCATTGCATTTTGGATGTACTCAGTTTGTATGAAAATGCTGTAGGTGAGGTCTCTGATTACAATAGTTCCTGTGTTTCGATAACATCGTGCAGGTGTTACAGGACTTGAAGAACTGTGACTGAATGGCTCTATCCAGTCTCCTTTTTTGGTGAGTGATAGAGGTGGCAGCCTGGTCTCTTGTCATATTTCTGACAGGTAATTGCAGACTGGTGTCTCTGGGAGCTTGCTATGGTGCTGTCAGAAAGTACTGGTCTGGTTTGGAGATAGTTCAACCAAACGTTTAATAGATGTAGAAGAATTTGGGTACTAGAGGTTTCCAGCCCCGAGGAATTAGGAGCCTGTGAACATGTGTGTTCATTTCCCAAATCATCAGCTGAGGGTCACCACTATGCTTGCTGATGGGTGATGTCCACACCTCCACCACTGGCAGTAGTGATTAAAAGGAAATAAAACAGACCTATTGTTTGGAAGTTAGGGAGGCAGTGCTGGAATACTTGGTGCAAGGAGAGCATGAGCATTCCTTCCTGGAGAGGCAGCTCTCCTTGCCATGGGGCGTTGAAGGCTGACCATCCTCTCCATGTTGGCTGTGCTGTTTATGCAGCATTGTTGTAACCAAACCCTCATCTGGCCATTTCACAAGCAGGGCATGCTTTCTTTGTTCCTTTATAACCATTAAGGGCTTTTAACCTTCCCATTCCCTTAGCATGCCTTTCCCAGACCCATCCTCCTTCTGTTTGTGCCCTCCCTCAGCAAGGTTATGAGTCATGGGAGCAGATGCTAGAGAAATGTGCACCTTCTGAGTGAGTGGGTGAGTGTGTAAAAGGGGACAGAAAAGCTGCATGGAGACTTCTGCTTTCAGTGCTTTCCAAACATGTGGTCTCACTTCAATAAATTTATTTGGCAGTCAGCTAATCCATTTCCCTCTAAATTTGGTTGTTTTGTCAGATTTTGTGGGGGCAATATTTATTGGAAGTTTTTTGGTCACTGTAAACAAAATTGGATCTTTTTTATCCAAAATTAGTGTTTTTTTCTGCATGACTTGCTTAGAACTTCATACTGCTAAGTCTCAAAAAAGAATTTCAGTGAGTCACAAGTGCTGCAGGATGGCATGATGCCCTTCACAGAAATAACAACTACAGATGTGTAAAAAAAAATTAGAATTTGAGAATCTGAAGTTCTTTGCAAAATCTGCAACACTTTTATTATCAGCATTGCTGATAGTACAAATGAGGCTGAAGCGACAGATAAGTGTTCTGGTCCAATGAATTCACCTACTGCTTATGATCCTTCCAGTCGTATTTTTAACTGTTTTGGCATTCCCCATTAAATCTCCCTAAACAGTCTTCTTGCTGGTTCAGTGCTCTCGACCAGGAAGCTTGTGAGTTTGTGAGGATTTGTACTTGATCATGAATGATTCATGAAATGAGCTTAGAAAACTAAGTTTAACATCTTATTCAATGCTGAGGAAAAAAAAGAGCATCTTCTCCCATACTCGTAACAACTTGGCTAAAAAGGAAGAGTCTCAATGTCTCATTTTAAACACTGAAATTCAGAGCATCTGTTGCCTTTCCAGCCAAACCTCATCTCTACTAAGAAGCAAGAGGAAGCATTTTAATTTACTCCTGTAGCTGGTTTTGTTTTTCATTCTGCTCATACGTTTGAGCATATCCCAGCCGCACGTACAGCCGGGCTATTGGGGCACAGCCGACAGCCGGGGACTGCCCATGCCGCCATTTCTCGCTCCCATTTTACCATGTGCTGGATTTTTCTCTAAAAGCTGTGTCTGAAATCAGCTGATCTTGTTTATATTCTGAAACTGATTCTATATGCTCCATAGGACAACAGAAAGCTTAAACCTCAGGGTGTTATATTCTCTCCTACTCCTCTCCCTTGACCTCTCAGTGCAGGGCAGACAGAAGCGCCCCGTTTCTGAAGGGTGTGTGTGGCACTCAGAGCCTGGGAACACACAGCACCATTTCCCATTTCCCTGCCCTGCCTGTTCCACACAGACCATGTTTGAGGCTTGGTTTTCACACCAGTGAAATGGGGATAATTGTGTTGCTTTGATGTGCTGACAAAAGTGCCTTGTGAGAGCTAAATATTTCTTTGTGGAACATGCCATGGCATGTTTGGAAGCTCTGTGTAGCAAAGGGTAGGAAGACAACAGAGACATGGAGCTGATGACGAAAAAAATCAGGACAAAACAGAGAAGGAGGTCCATGGTTATTCTCTTGCTCTCCTTTGTCTCCTGTTCTAGATCTGCAGTAGGATTTTTTTCCACTTCCTTTGCTGAATGAAAAGATGACAACACAGCATACATCTAGGGACACCTGCTGAGAGAATGAAACACAATAAACACAAGCATGCTATGGTGAGAGACATATTTTGCTTGTACAATAGACATTTTGATCCAGAGTTACAGAAAGTTTAAACCCGTAAATTAAAATCAATTCAAATGCTTTTGTTATTCAACCTGAGATTTTTTTTGGTTGTATTTTGTAGGTTTTTTTAAGCTGGAAAAATTTGATCTCATGGTTAATAGAATTATGAAAAAGAAGAAAGTACTTCTAAACAAGGTCTTCTAAGGTATCCCCTGGGACTATGATTTGAAACTGGTCTTGCATTAATTGCAGTTTCTCTGGCTGTTTGTTAGGCCATTGCCATGCTGTGTTAAGGTCTCAATGCTTTTATCTAGCCCTCCCCTATTCCCTGTTTGTTCTTCAGCAAGGATGAGAGGAACCCTTACAGTATGCAAATACATAATGCTTTCTATGCTTCTTTCTTTAGAGACATAAAAGGATTTTTTAAAAAAGGCAAGTTGAATACATGGCAATAAAGACATAAATCTTCAGAAGCAGGCAAGATACACTCCCTCTGCACTTCACATATGAAGCATGGTTTTTGCAAAGAAAGAGTTTGTTAGGAGAACCAGAGGAAGCAGGATTTCCATAATGATTTGCAAGAAAAAATTCTGTAACACATGGCACCGTATTTCCTTCAGAACTGCAATCCCCTTGGGACCAAATTCTTTACTACTTAATCACTGCAGTAATTAGAGATGATGTTGGCAAGTGTTCATTGAACGTTGTGTCATTTTACATCTTAAAACATTTTGGCGTTACCATTTTCTTTATTCGGTGTGTTCTGGTCCATCCCCTGGATGATTAGACACAGCTGGCCTTTGCTTTGGGACCAGGTCCGTTTTGCAATTAAGAGCTGTGTTGGTCTGCACTGATAAAAAGAGGGACTAAATAGTTCTATTTATGGCTTCTAAATTACTTTTCCACCAAACATTTTTTATAATGACTTGTACACAAGAGACTTGATGTGAAACAAATCTGACTGAAACAGAGGATTCCAGCCACAAGAAATAGCTCTGTCCTACAGTGAGCCTTCAAATGTGGAAAACTGCAGTACCAAAGTATGAACGAAGGTCTCTCTGTAGATGGAGAATAATGTTGCAGCACCAAACCTGCGTGCAGAATGTGGCTGTGATGATGAGGAGTGCCCGGGGGGTGTGGGCAGCAAGGGGCAGCCATCAGCGGCATCTGCCTCATGCTGCTCCTTCCCTCTCTGCTGCTCTGTACAGGCTGGCCAATGTGATGTCAAATGAGGAGAAAGGGAAATGGGAAAGGGCTGTTCAACCCCTAAATCTGACAGTTGAAACTTCTGTTGGTAAGGTTGGGGGAAATGTGCTTGAGGTATTAATAATACATCTGGAAATAGTGCAACCTGACTTCTCTGCATTTCAGGCCTGTGCCTGTAGCTGTCACTTCAGAAAAGTAGGAAAGGTTCTTCTTGCAAGATATCATAATAGCTGAAAACTGCAGGTGTACCTTTCAGTTTTCTAAAATCCAAGCATCATTAACTATGTTGAGTGGCATATCAAGGCAACAGTGCACGGTGGAAGGTCCCTGCACTACTCTTGCAGGCTCAGATTGTCCTTTTACACTCTAGATCTTAATCTTCATTTTTCAAAATGTTCATGTGTCTGTTACTTTTTTTAAACAGGCTTTGATGAGGCACTGGAGCCTTTCAAAGATTAAACGTGGAGGGTGCAGGAATGGCCTGGCTGTGATGCACACTTCTCTCTGGCCCTATGTGTTTGAACATCCTTTCAGCTGGGCAGGCATGGCAGTGCCCCTCATAATTGGGCTTGGTCTTGGATAAAGATTGTTTCCGCTTTCAGTCTCATTTCGTAGAGGCTGAAACAGAAAATTCATCAGATGTAAAGTTCAGCTTAAATGACAATTTGTGTGATCAATGACCTTCTAAAAGACAAGGTGGTAGATTATAATGTCTTTTGAAATGCTTTCAGAGGAGAAAAACACACAGTAAAAATTATATGACAAATATAAAAAAGGGAAAAGAAAACAAAGTTAGGAACAGAAGCAAGCACTAGCAGCCATTATGCTTTTAAATTATCTCTCCACAGCCTACAAATCTTTACTTTGACTCACGCATACCATACATCTAGCAAAGAGAGAAATAATATTTTTTATTGCCACTCAATTATAATTGATATACTACTGTATCATTTTAAAATGTATGAAAGCTGAAAAGTACACACACAAAAATTTTAAATGGCAGGCAAAGAACAGCATAATAAAAGTGATAGAACTTTCTGAGCTAGTTTTACATACATGCCTTTCTCCCCTTATATGCATGTTCCAGGCAGAGAAAAAGTACTAACAAAAATTGGTAATGCGTAATAGCTCAAAACTGATTAAAGAAAATTACCTCTCCTTTTAATTCTGCTTACAAGCCTTTTCTGCAATATTGATTATTTTTCAGAGGTAAGTGATAGTATCTATCCTTTCTGCAATTAATCTATATGTTCATTCTGCATGGTGGTTTTAGAAATCCTCTGAGGTCCAGAATTAGGGTACTGGTAACTCTAGAATAAAGCTAATTCTATGACAGTTTCTAAGAAAAAATCTGGCCAAAGGCTGATTGTGCTGCTACTGTGACAAAGGCAGTTAGTGCATTAGTTGTCTGACATACTAGAGGACAGGTTCTGGTATAATTTGAAACTAGAATTCAGGTTGCACCTGGCCAATTGCTTCCTTGCTCCACCACTAGCACTGAAAATTCCAGAGCTGTGGCTGTATGGCAAATGAATGACAAAAACCACTGTTTATGATTTTGTTTGCTACTCTTAAATAATTCTGATGTTCCTTTTTTTCATCCATTTCAGAGCCTGTCACTTATGTATATCTTCCAAGAGATGATGTGAGTTTTGTGCTGAAAGTTGTATCTCTCAGTCTTTGTTATATTCATCACATATGCCAAACTGATACCAAAAGGGAGTAAGTTTTCAAGCATGTTACGTAGACAATTCACGCACTACTTTTTTTCCTATTTTTCCAGATCAAATGCTTCTAAATCATCATGAGGCAGGAGATATTATGGGATGCACCTTAAACAAAGTGCTGAACACAGTCTGAGTGGCTGCAAGTTCAGGTACCTTGATAGTCTAAATGGGACTGTAAGAGCACTTCCCAAATCTAGTGGCAATGGTACAATATAGACAAGTTTCTGTGTCTTACTTTACCTGGGTTTCCATTTTTTTTAGTGCCTTTACATCCATTTAATGGATTAGTAACAACAGGATGTGCCATCCCTGCTGTTCATTCTGTCCAATATGACCAACCCTCCTTTTGTTTAGAAGAAACCTGAAAAGACTGAACATGAGTGCTTACAGCTTGGCTCTGTCCTACAGCCCCTGTTACTGGGCAAACTGTACATTGAGCAGCCTTTTGCAATCTTGGGGGCAGAGCCTTTGTCCCAGGTTTGCTCCCTCCTGATCTCCCCAGGAGCTAGGATTCAACTGAATCCTAGAGGCAAGCCCAGTCCTTGCCTCTAGGAAGAAGAACAGACTCTACTGTCTCCAGTGTTGTTCTCCTCGTAACACTTGAAGGCTGAGTTTAAAATCAGCCTGGAAAGACAAATGGCAGAAATACAGCTGACCTCACCAGGTTTTCTGCTTTTCAGCTCAGGATGCAGTTTGTTACTAACTATGGGAAAACAAAGCGAACCAAGATACATCCTTTCCTCATTGACATAAATGACCTTTTTTCTCTTTTGAGGCACAAGACACCCTGCTCCAGGCCTCCCCAAAAAGAATTGTGTTCTATAGCAATGATAATTATAAACTGGCCTCTGCTTTTGGTAACTTTAAATCCACATGGTATTTTACACACTATTCTTTGTGCTGTCAGGCATACAGGAATTCTACCATGCAGCAAAAACCCCCCCATACACTGTAAAAATGAGCTTCACTTTTTAAGTCATGTCACAGTAAATTGCCTTTGAATGCACTATAAAAAACTGTTATACTTTCTAGGAGAAAAATTTCATGTTCTATATTTTAAATTTCTATCTGTTTCTTCAGAAGATAGAACATCTGTAAAATTTGAAATTGTTTGTCTATAAAAGCAGTATATTCAGAAATGCTCTTTGTATTTTACATTAAGTTATAAATTACAACAGTGCCACAATTTCCAGATGTGTTTTATATAAATATGGATTAAGATAAATGTAGCAGGTTGAGCTAAAATTACCAATCCACATTCCAATGCTTTTGATTATTCAGTTTCTGGATAAGAGTTTAAGTGATGTATCCTTTAAAGAGGTATATCCTGAAATGAGGGATGAATATGCCTTCCAACCAGGAGACCAAGCACAGCACGGGTGAAAATCAGTAGCAATTGTGCAGTGGGTTCTGTCTAGGTAAGAGTTATTTATATCCCCATCTTACTGTCACAAGGAGTGCCCCTCTGCCTGGGAACCTTAGCAGCGAGGTCACGGGCTCCAGGCAGAGGTAGACTGAGTTTCCTTCTCAGGCTTTGATGGACTTTATCAGGGCTGTCTCTGTTACCATAGTTTCCATTTTGTTCTCTAGATAAGAAATGGAAATGTATAGTTCACAGAGGCCTTGATCAGTTGCTTGACATAGGGTCCCTGCCTGTGGTGAGGTTTAAGGGAATGAGAAGTAACTATGCAGAGTCACAAAAAAATCAGTCTTTTCTTTCTTCCTTCCCTTTTTTCTTTCCTTGTTTGCTTGCTTTTAGCCATATCTCTGTTCACAGAAACTTGGTGGGACATCTGAATCACCAGCTAGGTAAAAGGGTATCTTCACACAGTTTTACAAGAAGCATTGTCTAATGATTGTGCATTTCAGAAACTCAGCTGTTGTGTGCCCTTTAGTGAGCTTGTTCAGCTCCACCCCTTTTGACTATGGACATTTTATTGGGAGTCCTACTCACATCACTCTTTTTGTACCTCTGTTCCCTTTCTGTTCTTGGGCTTCCTGCACTTGCAGGCCCAGTTTGAAATTTCAGAGCAGCAAGGACAGTGTCTGTACTGAAGCACTGAGAAGTTACAAAAGCAGTGGCTGCAGCTAACCACCACTAATAATACCTCTGTCACAGAAGCAATCATTGCCTTCAAATGTCCTCTCCCTCCCTAAAATCTCAGGGAAGAATTGTGTTCCTTCCAGCACAAGAAAGGCTACATGAAGGTTAGGGACAAGCTTCCACTGCCCATTACTCTCCCTATTTTACTGTCAGTGGAAATTTTAGATCACTTTATTCCCATGCCAGTATCATTCCCCCTACTTTTTTCATCTCTGGGCAGTAGCCAGGACTTTGGAGTTAATGCAAGTATTGTTGTGCAGAACCAGTATTCTCTGTCACTGCTCCTTTTACCTTAATAAATAGATACTATCTGCAAGTGAAGGAAGGCAGTATGTGTTTTCTTTTAATTTATTTTGCAGGCTCTGTTAAAAGGTAGGGAACTCATTATGTTCCAGCCAGACAGGAAGTTTTATTTACAATTTCTTACCTCAGTGCAGCTGTGGCAAATTATATCAGCCCTTCAATTCGTGCATTATCATTACTTCCTCACTTTCATACCCTTTCTGGAATTACACTACCACTGACCTGATGAACCCATTTTCTTTTAAAATCACTCCTATTTTATGTTTAGAGATTGCTTGGGAAAACTCAACAGCAGTAGCTAAAAGAGCAGGCAAGATGGCTGTGTATAATCAAAAGGTCAGTCTATTTTCAGGTACTTCTTCAGGGCTACTGCTGAAGAAAGCATGGAGCCATCTGTACCCATACAGGTGTCAGGAGTTTGTTCTCACACACAGCAGAAAAGGCAAAGCCCAGGAAAACAGCCACTGGCTCCCCTGATACCTCCTGCTTGATCCTGCAGGCTGCAGCTGCCTGAGAAGATACTCATCCCAGTCCACAACAATTCACCTCCCACCTGCCCAGAAGCAGTGATTCACTTGCTGTGCTGTTGCCTTGGAGGAAGGGATCTCTTTCCCATGCGCTGACAGCAGGACTCACAGATGGAGCTGAACTGGATGGGTGACAGTATGATAGGGATCCATGGCTCTTTGGGGGTTATTTACCTCTTCTGCAGAGCTAAAAACTTCTGCAGTTTATCCATCTGTTCACCTATCCCTGCTGACTACATCATCATGGAACTATAATCCCAACCTCCAATTCTGTATTTGTGGGCTACACCTATAGACTAGAGCTCCTTAGCCTACCTAAAAAACACCTGTTTTAACACCTATGCTTTAACACCATAGATACTAAACCTCCAATTCTCCAGCTGATTAAGGCAGCGTAGCAGGACAAAAAGCTTTGTCTTCTCTTGCATTTGCATTAGCTTTCCCTTACAGCCCAAGTCCCTCTTTGGCTCCCTGCATCTCCATCTCCATTGTACATTTTGTTCTCCTATTACACAGTAATTAATATGCTAAAATATTAAAGAATATACTAAAGAAATGTACTCTTTCACTGAGTAAACTCTGAATTGCTGCTGCTCAGTTTGCTGTGAGTTGTGAATTTGCTCTGAGTTATTTTTACCACTGAGAATTGCCAGGCTTTATAGCATGTTTTGCACAGGAACTCAGCTGCCCTTTCACTGCTGTGTTTGTAGTTCTTGTTCCAAGGAAGCTGCCTGCTGTTCCCAGGTTTCCCTTTCTTTCTCACTCTTAGTATCCTGTTTAAATACAAGAAATGCAAATAAATGATTTAAATTCTGTATTTTGCAGGGAAACTTCCTGCCGAGACTTCACTTAGACCAACTGATATCTTCTGCCTGCCTGGAGAAAACCTTTGTCCTCGAGACTGAAGGCACTTAAAAGTAAGCCTGTTTGGTCTGCCCCTATTAACCAGCAGTACTGAGAGAGAAAATCGCTTTTCCCTGGTGTTCAGCACTTGAGAACCACAGAATTGAGACTGTTTATTCAGACTGCTTGGTTCTTTGGTATCATCCAATGGGACAGGCTGAGTCACTAGTTGACTCTCATTTCTCTTCATGTGAAGGTTTCAGCTCCTTTGCACTGCCATGAATCCCAAGCAATGATCCTAGTTTGTCCTGACAGCAACCCCCATGTTTCATTGGACTTCCTGGACTGGTGGTCAGAGAGGCTACTCCCCTGGGCTCTGAACTCCTCTGCCTGAGATGATGGGGGAAGGCATCAGCACAGCTGCCAGATGGCACCACCTGGGAGATTTTATGTTACTTTTAGTACTGCCCTTCTCTCAACAGGCAAGCCCTTGGGGCAGATAAGGATGCATTAAGTGACTGAAAGACATGCAGTTGTCTCCTAAAAGGTGTCAGTTCAGTATTGCTGTATACGAGAGACAACTGTTCTATTTCTGTCCTTAGTCTGAAATAATTTTCATTGGGATTGCTGAAGGTCCTTCTTTGCTGAATGGGACCTTTGTGTAGTGCTAAAAGGAATATTCTGTTTAATGTTCTGTTTCCCAGCTCTTTGTCTTTCCTTCACCCAAGATAACTGCCAGCATGTTCATGAGTTTTTCATTTGAATGAAATTTTGCTCTAGCTGTGGGCAGAATATAGAAAAAAATCAATAGCTATTAAGATACATGATACTGCAGGATCTGGGATCCTACTGATAGAAAAGGCAAGGACCTTATTTATTCACATACCCAAGTGCCTGCACTTCATAATCTGACCTCACTGCCCAGGTCCTGCTCTTCCCCCATGTTTTCAGTGGGGTTTTTTGTTGCCAAATGCTGAGCAGAGGATGTTTTGCCCATTGCATTCTGCTGTGTTCTGTGCTAGTTTCTTGTGAAAGTGCCTTCAGGTATTTTCCCAGGGCTCACATTTATTTGTTCAAGAACAAGTTAAGAAAGAAGAGTGACTGGAGGTTTTAAAACCCATTTTCTTTTTATCTAGTGTTCTGTTAAAGCTTTTCTCCTAAGCAGCTTACAATAATATAAACAACCTGCAGAAAAAACTTCCTGTCAATCTACTGCTATAAATTCCTACAAGTCCAGGGGCTTCAGGAGCTGTATATGCACTGAGAGCCCTTGGAGTCAGAGATAACTATCAGATAATTCACTCCTCTAAAAAATACTCCCCTATATTCAGAGTGAGTGGAGAGCAGGAGGGGGGAAGAGAAGATGAGAGGGGGTGTGGAGGGGCAGGAGTGGGGTACCAGGTGTGTGGGACAAGCATGGGGAGCAAAGGGACCCACGGGTGCAGCAGCTGAGCAAGTGCTTGTCTCTCCCAGTGCCCCTGGCTGTTGCTTTACCAGGCTCCTCGGCTGCACACCTTCTGATTGGCATAAAACACACTTTTCTTTCTTCCAGCTTGTGTGGGTGCAGCACAGGATTCAGCTCCTGGGGCTGCTTTAGCACAGAGAGCAGCCATGGCTCTGTGCTGCTTTGGCTTTGGAGGGGCTTGGGAATAACGAGCAAAATCTAATTAAGAAGAGTGAAATACAGTAGGGTAAGTCAGCTGCATTGGAGTGTGAAATGGAGCCATTATAAAACAAAACACTGTACAGCAGCAGCTCAGGAGCTCCACAGCATTACAGGGCGCTGACAGACTTCCCTGGCACCTGAGCAGGAATGCAGCAGTGGGAGCTGGTGATTGTCAGACTGCCACTGCCATGGCAGTCAGCTCCTTCTCCAAGGGGCAGCAGGAGAGGGGACATGCCAGGCAGCACAAACATGGCCTGGCCAGGCTGGCACAGGAGGGACGGGACAGGGCGCTGAGAGAAAGCACCGGTGCAGCCGAAAGGGCCTGAAGGGCAGGGGTGGAGCAGAAAATGAGAAACTCTGCAGCTATTAGAGCACAGCTTTCCCCTCCAAACCACTGGCGATGGCTGTGAGAGCTGCTCTGCCCTGCTCTGCCCTGCTCTGCTCTGCCCGCAGGGTGCCACGCTGAGTGTGGGCGTGGGCCACCACTCTGCTCTGGGAAGGATTCAGCAGCTCCACATGTGCACAAATTTGCCTCTTTGGTGACAACTTTTTTGGAAAAAAATTCCAAACAATACTCTCGCACAAATACACACGCTTTTTGAGTTGGCAGTGTTCTGAGATCAACAAGTAAACCTTTAAAATACACAAGTTCTTCTTGTTCTTCATGGTGCTAGAATTTATGAAATTATAGGATGAGCTCTATTATTTGAATTGAATTTTAAGAAAAAATGAAAAAAAAAATTGATCCGGTTGGAAAAACATCTTTTGAAACAGGAAGGAATGGTTTCAGTACCCTTAAAATATTTTTAATAGTAATTGCTTACAGTTGCTTCTCTCCAAAAGATGGAGAAAGGGCATCTTGAATGCCTTACAGTAAGTTCAGCCCAAGTCAATCTGCTTTCAAGTATGCTATAAAGGATATCCACAGTAATAGGATTACTACAAAGAGAACTTGTCTTTGTATTTAAAATCCTAAGGTTAATTTGTTCTAGTTCCATCCCTCCAACAAATTTTGTAATGAATTTCTATTGCCAGTCATTACTTAATGATGTTTCACTGTTAAATGCTCACAAGAAATATCTAACACCTGCTGGGAAAAATTATCCGTAAAGGTTATCTCAGTAAGGCATGGATGTAAAATGTCAAAGGACAACTTCATCTCTTTCTCCTTCTTTATCCCCCACCCTTTCAACAGGCAGGAAACCCAGGGGAATGTTTGCAGGCAGGAACCTGCTTCCCTTCAGCCTCTTTTCTCTCTCAAGGGAACCTTGAGATGTACTTACTTAAGCTGTCAGGGTGTCCAAAGTTAGAAAACTGAAGGCAGAGGAAATTAATAATTTACTAAAGTTTTGCTCGAGGACAGCAGACCACACCACCAGTGACCCCCTGCCACTGTCACCTGAAGGACAACTGAACAATGAGGCCAAGAGGCACCTCCTGCCTGTGTGGAGGGGAGCAGCAGCCAGGGACTCTGCTGCCACAGGGGCACAGGAACACAGGTAATTACCCCTGGCTTCAGAATAACAACTTGTTGGCTTCATTCCCTTTTTCTTATAGTTTCAGCACTCTGTTATTCACCTGGTCTGGAAAAATGTGGTTAAATACTTCACTTTGTGATCCCCACAAACCCCACTGTACTTAATGCACCAACTTCTGTCTCAGTGGTAGGGTTTCCAATCCTGCCCCCAAAACCAAGATACTGCACACCTACTGAAAGATTCAGATTCAAATAGTGAATTTTTTTTTCCTGATACATTTGGATTTTTTGGAGGTTTTTGTGTTTGATAACTGCTGGCATTTGTGAATGCGCTTGTTAGTGTAGGTGGTAGAGCTATGCAGGAGATCAAAGCTGCTCACAGAAAAGTCTTTGCAGGATCAGTTTTATGTTATACCCCACATTTCTCCAAAGCACCAAGAAAGGAAGTATTTTTGCTTCTGAGATCAACATTCATTCTCCAGAATAGTCTAGGTGTTTTCTGTTAATCATCTCTGGTACTAACCATCTGTGGCCTGTTTGTAGGCTGGAGAATCAGCAGCAGCCATTATGAACAAGCCTGGCTGCAGTCTTTGGCCATGTGTGCTGGTTTTGCCTGGGGTATAGAAAATCTTCTTCATCTTACTTCCATGAATCCAGCAGTCTAAAGTTTGATGTATTCTGTATTTTGCAGTGCTCCTTTTGAACCGTGTCTCTCTTGCACCTTAGATCAGGAACTCCTGAAAGATGAGTGTGCTCTTTGTCATTCCTACTCAGTGGCTTTGTGCAATTGTAGAGTCCCTTCACATAGTTGATCATTTTGGCACTTCGTTGTGAGTGCTAGCAAGGAATCACAACTGGCCATGCAGCTTTGCAGTGCAAACTGATTAAAACAGCAATGTCCTGGAAACCAGGGGATCTGAGAGTCTGATGAAGGTCTGGGATTTGTGACTGCAGAGATTTTTCATTGGTAAATGCAGCCCGTGGTGGAAGACACATTGTTCAAGGTCAGAACTTCAACATTTTTGTCTTCTTTGTTCCTGGTGTTTCTCATATTGGTTTTACCTTTTCTGTTATTTGGGTTTCTCATATTTGTTTACTTTGTCTCCTGTAGCCAATGAACAGAACAAATGTCTGATTATCAGAGGTCTGATCACCTTCAGTGTTACAGTCAGTGCTCTCTGTTCTTCCTCTTGAGTACACTGTGCTGTGTATTGATGGAACTGGGTAAAATACCTCTTTTGTATCTCCTGGAATCAGCCCAAGGCAGTTTTGCCAACGCAGTGTCTCTCTGTCAGTACCATCTTTCCTATCTTGATGTTTCTGTGACAAGATATTTTTTTTCGCCTACACAGTATCTTGATAATGGGGTTTATTGACTTTACCTGACAGAGTCATTTTGTACCTATATCAAAAAATTTTGAAGAAAGTCTTTACAACCCCCCAGAAAACCTGTCCAGGTAAAGTTTGATGTGTGACACATGCATGCATGTTCCCATTCATTGTGGTTTTAGATAAGTATGTTCATGATGGGTAACAAAAGCATAGAAATACCTTGGGAGTATGAAGGACTGTTTCTGTTCCTTAAGCCTTGATAACATGTTGACATCCTTAGTGAAACTACAGAAAGGTCAATATCCTTTGCTGTCTTTTCCAGTGACATGTTTTGGAATATATTTCTTTTTGTTCACATGCCCTCTGTGTTCTCAGGTGAATACAGTTGTAGCTCTCTCTTATGGACAGCTCTTTTCTGTTTTGTGCTGTGTCATAGAGATACAGATATCTGACAGCTGCAAAACATGCCTCAGAAAATTCACTGGATCCTGGTGGTGTGACAAGCAAAACCCTTGAAAATCCCCACAGCTTTTGTAACTGCATAGCAGGAAACCCCTGATGTTGGGTTCATAAAGGATGGCTTTGCAGGACTATGGGAA